TATCCAATCGAGACTATGTGGTTACTGGTTTCATAAGGAGAGGTGGAAAGGCAGAAAGCTTCCGAGAAAGAGGGCAACTCAAGCACCGCTGTAACAGTCAATTCAGAGGTGAATGTATTCCGCAATTACCTTTTCAAGCTGCCATCGTTCAGAGAAGCAGTTCTTGCTGAGCGAGGCAGCAAAGAGAGTGGCCCTGCCTTCCGGCAGGTCGGTTAATGAAGTGGTTGTCGAGATTTGGCCAATGCAAGGGTCACAAAGCACATTCGGCTGCCATTTAAGGGACGAAAGAAACAATGGTCAAGTGCAGTAAGGTAAACAAAACGACTTGTTCCTGTCTGGGCACTCTGGCTCATGTCGGTAATATACCTCACGTTAAATAAATTTCAAAATGTCTGCCAAAACCTAAGGACTATCTCCATGCGAAAAAAAATGACAATCCTTGTTCTAAATAACGTAACTTTTCGACCTTAGCACTCCTAGGGAGCACGTGGAAATGTGCAAGTTATGGATTAATGTTTGACAAACTGGAAATACGAGTCAATTCCTCGTGTGATGAGAAGAAAGTGGGGTCGTAAACAATGGAGACTTGAGATAACGGTAGAAGAAATTTTTACAGGCAAATAACTGCAGAAACGTACATCTGACGAACTCTATATATCGCGATTGTTCATATAAGTAAATAAATATAAAAATGAAAGAAAGTTTATAAAATAAGGAAATTGTCAAGGTTCATCAGAAGGTTCCGAATACTGATCGCTGTCAACGAATTCCCAATCTAGGGAAGTGGAATGCGCACCGTCAGATTTGACATCTTCGTCAGACTCGAGTCGTGACTGGACTTCGTCAGGTAATTTCCGGCAGGAAACTGAGTCATTATGAGAGGAAACATGCTCAGGAGAACCTTTCCGGCAAGGGCTTTCGACGGATCTACATTGGCGCCGCCTTAAGCTGAGTGAGATAAGCTTAGTATCCTCAAAGAGATTCGTGTCTTCGTAGGTGTCCAATTCCAAAAAGTAGGGCTCATCAAAGGATTTTCTAAAAAATAAAACAAAATACATGAACCATCAAACATCAAGAACAATGAGATAGCATATGATTTGGAAATGTTCTGAAGAAAACATTAGCTTACCCGATAAAGGCCAATTTTTGCATCGCCTGACAGAGTACGTAAAGACCGGTTAGCGGCTTCTTAAAACCCACAGCACCAGCCCGAGGTCCATCCGGAGGCAGCCCAAGCCAGGATAATTTATCTGCTGGGAGACATGTAAGGCCACAGACGGTACATATCATTTGAACAGCGCGTGCGACAGTCAAATAAGCATGAGCCAAATTGTCTCGTAGGGCGAAGTCACCAGAAAACACGTTTTCGAGACAAAGAAGTCTACGAGTTGACGGTGGAAGCCACACATCAAAAAGCTTTGCGGTCGTACGAGCTGCTACCACGGCGTGCGCCAGTGCCACGTGACTAGAGGTGGTGGGTTCGGGACCTAAAGTGTACCCAGTTTTGTTGTATAGATCAGGTGGATGGATAAGAAAGGAGAAAATGCCGTGCAAACTACAAAGGGAATAAGAGCTCCTTTACCTGACAAAATATTTGTTTTGTCGATGTTAAGTGGGACTCCGGCAATCGTATCCGCTCGATCAATCATATTCTAACAAGAAAAAGACATCCTAGAAAGCCAAATTAGGACTTAAAATAAATATTCGGATTGCAATTTGATGTTTTTTTGCACGTTAATTTTTTCATTCGAATTCAAACAGATAAAGTGTAAACAACCTGGCCGTGTAAAGAGGGCGGTTGAATAGAGGTGGGAGAATACTCATCAAAAATAAGGTAGACTCACAGAAATGTTAATGGGGAAATAAGAGAGGAACAATTCTTTAACCCGCTCGCTCCGCACGATGTGAAGCTGTTTGTTAACTTCAACGATTTCAGCACTTCTGGCTGAAATCCTTTCGCGTATAGCATGCATGTGACGTGACAGGTTAGTTCGCGTACGAACAAGTTCGCTTATTTCCTTTTGAGATTTCTTGATATGTGACTGAATCGCAGACAGCTTCCGGTGCTCTAGTGGTTTATAAGGATTAATGGACACCAACTTACTATCTTCCAGCAAGTTTTTAAGGTCACTTAACATACCCTTTGAGGATTCGACCATACTTAAAGTTGAAGAGGCCTGAAGCTAAGTAAAAGTAACACCTTACCCGTTTTGAACAGTTGGGTGCACCATGAAAGTGGGGATGCTCTTGAATCCTACAAGAATTATAAAAAATTGTTCGAGTTAAGTGCGTACTCCAGCGATAAACGTTGAATTTTGTGACTGGTTGAAAGCAGCCTTTTGAAAAGATCAGACGAGCTAAGAATCCAGTAAGTTCAAATAACAACTGCTTACTTCAATTCTTCCTTTGATTTAGCGACAACACTGTAAGCACCGGAACGAACACAAGCACTGCAATATAAGTCGCTGTAACAAGAATCACATATTGGACAATTAGGCTTCAGATGGAAAGTAGGGCCCAAGCATTCAGGACGCGAAGGCTTGCCCTCATCTATCTGCCAAATATCAATATACTGAAATTCCTCCATATACTCAAGAATGGACAAATATCCTTTAGGGTGTAGATGACTCGTGCAAACTGCGCGGTCCCCAAGGCTAGGTCTGTTAGTTTAATAAGTCACATTTTAGTTCCAATTTGCATATTTATTCAAAATCTCAGTAGAAGAGGACGGCGAGATGATGTGATGTAGCGTCCGAGCTGGGGACGCTATGGAAATTTCGACTAACTGGGATGGAGATAGGAGGTCCTGACCATACGGGTTTAAAGCAACTCCCACTCCTCTTGATTTTCGGAGTTCCGCGTCGTTCATCTCCGTTTCCTCTCGGCAACCAATATGACATGTGCCGTATTCTTCCGTGACTTTTTAACGGTCCTCTCTGTTATTGTGGAGCTTATATCATTTCCCGCTATTTCCATATCGTTTCGCATTGTTTTAACTTTCAATAAATCGTTTGTCGTATTTTTCCGTAACTTGTGTAACGTTCATCTGTATTTTCGCTAGCCTCATAACTTTCCATGATTTTTCGATTTTTGTATCGCTCCTGCTTTGCATTTTGGCCATTTTTAATGTAATATTTTGTTATTTTGTCTCAAGGTTTATCATTACACCACATTAACTACCGGCTGTTTAACAATAAATAGTCCTTTATCCTATATACTATAACCTATCAGGACTGCGAGCATGTTGAGTCTGTTTGAGTGGAATTCGCTCATCTACTAGATCAGGTTGCGACCTCAACCTTTCAGAATAGGACTCTATTTCCGATTTGCAATCCTGAACCTCGTTACCCAAATCATTTTCTGCTATAGAGGATTAGAAATACAAACAAATTTAGGGAATTCTGTCTTTCATCTCTTACATACTCAGTCAGTATTGTGCCTCAGCTCTATAACGTCGTGTCGAACCATCCGCCTTCCCTCCGTCCGGCCGTTACAGATGTGCTCTTGCAGTTGTATTGACTATCGGTAACCAAAATAACAATACTTCATTAAAACTACCTGGAAGATGAGTGTGGCCCGACAGCAGAGACCCTTAACTTACCGCTTTTAATGATAAAACTGCAGTGTGCTAAGCACTCTCCTATTTTGCCTTTGTTAAATGATTTTTCGATGTATTTCAGAATGGCAGGCACTCTAATAAAGTTTATTTGTATGTATGTATGTATACTGAAGATTTGAAATTTGCTTATATATGCAAAGAGGTTGCTCGCAACACCGTGTTGGATCTCTTAAAAAGGATCTTCAGTTCTTGGCTCTGTGGTACTGCACATGACCCCTTTC